ATGTAAAACAAGAATACAAACAACTTTTGTTATAAAGTCATGTTCAAATTTTTAACCAAATATTAGTTAAAAAAAAAAAAAAAATTCATCTGCACACGTTCGAGCGATGTTCACACGAACGAGCCAATACGTCTACACGAATGCGAAAGGTCGTGAATACGTTCGCCCGGCTCTGAGGTTTTGGGGATCAAATTTTATGTTTTCGTAAGCCACCAGAGTAGCCCGACACCAATTCTATGGTTGGGTAAGTAATTTTGATATGGCCTCGAGGTGAAAGTTGTTCAGTTAGTTTTTTGTATAACGTAATCGATTTTTTTATTTTAATTTTTTATTTTGGGGGAGGGGGGTGCGAGGGATCTCCCATAATCCTTGCACGGTCGAGTCGCCCGGGAAAACCAGGTAGCTGCGGTGGGCGAACTCGTAGTCCATATTTTATTTTGTTTTGTTTGCTTATTTTTTATTCGTTTAAGGTTGCTCTGTGTCAAATTTTGTATTATTTGAAGTATTGAAATTTCCTCTGCTAAGATTAATAAAAGTTTTTAATAATATGGGATTACAATTTTTTAAAATTTTCATGAAAGTGTATTTTTGCCTTACTGTTTTATAGTTTTTCTTACAATTTTCTTTTTTATTTTTCGAATTAGCTAAAGTAGTGTCTACTCTTTGAATTAGTAAGAAGTTTAGTTAAAATGATCTTTCGGTTTTGTTATAAATGGAATGGCGAGCTGTCTGAAATGTTGGGTCTTCGTTAACCTCCTCTTAGTACTCGAGGAAAAAAAAAAAAAAAAAAAAAAAGTGTATTGTTCGGCGAAGCCTTGGGGAGGGGTAGTTAGAGGAGGATGCAAAAAAAGATAAACTACGTGATGAGAAAAAAAAATAATTATTCAATGAAGACCTTGGCGATAGATAGTGAATGGATTAATCGAAAAACAAACTAAATGTACGAGGAGGAAAACAATGTGTTCTTCGATAAAGCCTTCAGGAGGGGTAGGGAGAGGACTAGCCGAAAAAATTAATTTCTCAGTGATAAAAAAAATAATAAAAATTCCTATGTGAAAAATAAAAAAATGCGTATTTTTTTCGACATTGAATTGGAGAGAGATGCCGAGAGGAGGACAAAAAAAAAAAAAAAAAAAAAAAAAAAAAAAAAAAAAAAAAAAAAAAAAAAAAAAAAAAAAAAAAAAAAAAAAAAAAAGTACGTTATTTGGCGAACCCTTCACGAGGACGTGAAAAACGATTAATTGCAAGAGGAAAAAAAATATATATATATATATATATATATTATTTGATAAAGTTTTAGGGAGCGGTAAATAGAAGGATGAAGCAAAACAAAACAAAGTACCCGAGTGAAAAAAAATAAAAAATATAATGTGTTCTTAGGCGAAGCCTCCAAAAGAGGTTGTGAGAGGATTAACCGAGAAAATTACGTACACTTCCCCCCCAATAAAAAAATGTGTTCAGGGTAGTGAGAGGAGGACGCACAAAAAGCTAAGTCCAAAGCGCTATAGGCATAAGGAAGATGGATGGTCAAAATATTTTTAATACTTATGCATCAAGTATTATTAATAGATGTGGGGACTATTCATAAAGATATTAACCATTTTTTGAAAAACGATAATAAATATTCGTTGATTCAACGGGAAGATTCATTGTCTTCCGGGACTTTTTTTTTTTTTTTTTTTTTTTTTTTTTTTTTTTTTTTTTTTTTTTTTTTTTTTTTTTTTTTCTCTCGCTATTTATTTGTCTATCTATCTATCTATCTATCTATCGATCGATCCATCTCTCCATGTCTCTCTATCTCTCTCTCTTGGAGAGAAATGAGTTCGTATATGGGGTTCCACCGGGTCGCCCGGGTCACCTTGTTTGACCGGGCGGCCCAACCATGCCAGGACTAGCGAAAAGTCCCAAAAAAAAAAATCCAAAAAATATGAAAAAACTCCATGTAATGCAAAAAAATTGACTAAACAACTTTTGCCTTAGAGACAAATCAAAATTATTTACCAAATTTAAAATAAAAAATAAAAATTTAAACTTTTATGTATCTATTTATTTATTTTGTTAGGCTGAGCCCCGGACCACTCTAGTAGCCTATGCTCAATTTTTTTTTTTTTAAATACTTTTTTTTTTTTTTTAGTGAGTTTAAGTTGTTGTAGAGGTTGGCTACTATGGATATCACAGGTCTACCAACACCTAACCATTTTATCATCTATGCATCTTTATAAGTGATGCAAAAACATCATATCACCTTTGTTTGTGTCGGTGGGAAACTTTGAGAGCAAACATGAATTCCTCTTAAAATTATAGTTTATAATTTGCCAAATATATTTTGATATTCATCATATGTTACATCAATCTTTATACGGGCTTAAACCGAAAACTCAAAAAAATGTCTCAGATTTTTTTTTTTTATGGTCCTTTTTATATATATAATCGTACTTAAGCGTTTGAGGATATTTGGGGTGTGATCGGGCATTTGTTTCCCTAACCCTCAAAAGTCGGAGCGTGTGAACGACTACGATTTTTGTTTATAGCTAAGTGAGGTATTGGGTGTTTAACTTCATCTTACCCAGATTGAACAGCTTGCCTTTATCGACTGCTACCAGCGTCCTCAACCTTTATCCCTAACTAGTTATTCTCATAGGCCATCATCGAATTTTGGAAGTTGGTTTCCGGTACACCACCTCGTGGATTGACCCTGCTAGGTCAAATTCGGGAGTTGTCCCGGAAACTATTTCGACTGGGTTCCCCAAACCTCATGCCTGCGAGTCTCAAAATTCGAGAGACTTCACCCGTCCCTCAAAGTTTGCATTGAAATTTGAGAGTCGGTTAGGACAGAAGGTGCTTAGATTTGAACTGAGCATACGGTATGAGGGGACATCATTGTTGAGAGTGTGAACGCAAGAGTGTAATATAGAAAAAAAAACTCTCAACCATAATTTTTCGACTTTATGCTATCTAAAAGAACTCCTATTTTTTTTAAAGATTGAGAGTGGGGCGGCAAAAACTCGTGTATGCCATTCTGGTTTTTCTTTTCTTTTCTAAAATTTTGAAAGAAACACTCATTCGTCATTTGCATCTCATTGACTGTGGACATGAACTACCGTTCAAGTAGTCACCTTTGAAGAGATGTTTAAAGCATGAGGAAGTTTGGGAGAGCACCACATTACCCCATAACCCCTTCTCCGCATCTCTGACTTCCAATCCTCCTGCTGCTTATCAATCCTATGCTAATGCATAAAGAAGAAGTGCTTAATGAACTTCAATCATATGTGCTTCACACTTGGATTATGTTGCCTGTTTCTCTCCATGGTCCTCATGAATTTGCTGAGAAGGTGGGTCAGGATGGTCGTATTACTTGCGGATTGCATCCCGTCCCTTGAGCTTATACACATCCCCTGCTCAACCTCACCTAAGTTGCTACTGGGGGTCTACGTACCTGCAACTTGGGCCTGCCCTTAGCTACTATTAGGCCATTGTCCAAATTGCGACTGGGCCTCCCATTAGGCATTGGCGTACCGTGAAGACACAGGTGAGCAACTCATAGTTTGTTTGTTGATGTGGTTGGGAAATGGTAAGGTAATGATTATGTTGTGTTTATGTTTTTTTTATATTCGCTATACACAACTTCAAGAATGTGTGTGTGTGGGGTCCCAACTGGTGCTTTATTGACCATGTTCCTGGGACGCTAGACCCGATTTCCAACAGGTGTTGCTCCCCACCAATAGAGAGGAACATTTTGTAGCAAGTCCACTATAGGGGGATGCTCAGATCACCTCCTCTAGTGAGTGGGCTGTGGTGGAACTTTTTTGGGGGAAAAAAGAAAGTGCGCATGTGTGTGTGTGTGTGTGTGTGTGTGTGTGTGTGTGTGTGTGTGTCTGTGTGTGTGTGCACTTGTATCTGAGAGTAAGTGACTAAGTGTGTCTGTGCGCGTGTGTGTGTGTTAGAAACTGGCCTTCTATTCGAGAAAAGTGGACCCATGGCTTTTGGATTTCGAAATGCTCAACTCTACGACTGTGGCGTCCCCGGTCTCCCACAAGCAGCTACTGGTCCTCTGCAAGCAACAACTGCCCGTTCGCCATGAATTGCCCCCCCGGCAAATTCACCACCCACTTGACTCAGGTGTATCAAACACGACCCTGATGGGCTGTGAGCTGCGCAGCCCCCCCACCGTTTGGGCCTTCATCCGCTACACGCTTACTGGCTGCGCCCCACCCTTGCGGTGAGTCAATTTCAACAGTTCAAGGGTGTACCCACTGCCCCGTTGGTAGGGTTAGTGGCCACCCCGCCTTTTTATATGGGTTAGTGGCCACCCCGTCTTTTTATATGGGTTAGTAGCCACCCCTCCTTTTTATATGGAGAGAAAAATTTGTATGGAGAGAAAAAACAACCTGCTGGCCGCTGCGGCGGTCGAGCATTCCCGCGCATCGTGCGTTTACCGCTTTCTCGACATTATTGTCCGTAATTTAACCCATTATTTATACATCATTATTTGACTCACGGCATACTTGTGGACGTCATTGCGGTCAGGCGCATCCAGGACCTCGTGTGAGTATGGCCTCAATCGCGCCTAACCTGCCTTTTCATCCGAGTACGAGCCCATGCTCTGCTTGGTTGGTAAGAGTTTCCTGTGTGTGCAGCATTCAGCGTGAAGGGCTGGGTTCCTGTACCCCGCTTCCCTTCGGTGCGGTTTCCAGTTGTTCCCTACCGTCTTCCCCGGAACACAACGCACCCTTAATTTTGGCGGTATCTGGCAGGAAATATAGCTTGTATACGTTCATTTTTAGGCTGCGTTATGTTCGGGCGAAGACGGTAGGGACGGCAGCTTGGGCTCTTCTCGTCGTTTTTCTGCCCTTGTGTGCGTCCCTGCCTGGCTCTGGGACCCCGTTCCCAGTCCTCCCGCGCCCCAATACTTCCATCTGTCTCTGCTGGCTACTCTCATTGACAGTCTGCACTGCAGTCAGCAGTTAGGGCAGAGGGACCGTCCTGTGGAACGTGTACCTGGCGGTACCAGGCTGAGCCAGAGCAGGGAAGCATCAACAACGCGGAGACGAGGTATTCGACGCGATGCGCAGTACACTACAGAAGAAGCATCCGATTGCTCTGTAGCCCTCCAAATGTTCTCTATTCTCTATTGTCTAGGGAAGAGAGAGAGAGAGAGGAGCAGGAGGGGGAAGAGTGAAAGAGCGAAAGAGCGCGTGTCACAAAACCTGAACAGTCGTAGTGCTCCCGCCCGCGCTCTTCCTTCCTCTGCTACCTTCTCATCAGAGACCTCTACCTACCTACCTGCCTGCCTACGTACCTGCCCAGTGTATTATTGCGTGCACGTTCACGGCTCTATTCAAGGCAACAGACGCCGAGGGCCAGAAGGGGAGAGAGAGGAGTTAGGTTTTCCTTGTTGTTGAGTGTAGAGCGCAACCCGAGCTTGTGAGTGCTCCAGCGAGGTGGCTCCTTCTCCCTCGTGTGGACACGTGTTCATCTCTTACAGCAGCTGCGGCATCATCTGTCGAAGAGCGAGAGAGGAGGAGAGGAGAGGAGAGCAGAGTTATTCACGATGGCGGATTCCTTCAACGGCGATGAGACTGCCCCCTTCTTTGGCTTTCTGGGCGCGTCTTCTGCCCTAGTGTTTGCGTGCATGGGAGCAGCCTATGGAACTGCCAAGAGTGGTGTTGGTGTGGCATCGATGGGTGTCATGCGCCCTGAGCTAGTGATGAAATCCATCGTGCCTGTGGTCATGGCAGGAGTTCTCGGTATTTACGGTCTGATTATTGCAGTCATCATCTCGACGGGTATCAATCCCAAGGCCAAGGCGTACTATCTGTTCGATGGCTATGCACATTTGTCCTCCGGGTTGGCCTGCGGTCTGGCAGGTCTCTCTGCCGGCATGGCAATTGGAATCGTCGGTGATGCGGGAGTGAGAGCCAACGCGCAACAACCCAAGCTGTTCGTTGGAATGATTCTAATCCTCATTTTCGCTGAAGCGCTGGCCTTGTACGGGCTCATCGTCGGTATTATCCTGTCGTCTCGTGCTGGTCAATCTCGAGGCTAAACGGGGGAGGAGAGGGGTTATGGTAAGAAGAATAACAATGGGAGCTGTCGCTGAATGATTGAATGAGTTAGTGGGCTGTATGGTTGGATGAGGAATACAGTGATTGATTGGCGATTGCCGCCGGTGGTGGTGGTGATGGTGGCAGCGATGATGCTGGATATCTTATAAACTCTCTCTCTCTCTCTCTCTCTCGAGTCTTCCTCTTCCTCTCTCTGTCGGTCGGCAGAAGGATTGCGGTCTCTGTTTGTTTCTCTCTCTCTCTCATGGTTGAGGGGAAAGAAGGAATGTCATCAGCAGCCGAAACCCAGTCTGTTGCTTGATGAATTGGGCAATCACCAATCAATCTGGGGAATGGGCGGGTTCGAGTTTACATTCAATCCGAACAGCTTTCAAGTCCTCTCTAATTCCCTCCAGAGTTTGCTTGAGAGCGCGCCTCCCATCTCTCTGTCTTCCTCTCTTTCCTCTGACCCTCTCTTTCTGTCTTTGTCTCTTGCTGCCTTTGCTCTCTCTCTCTCTCTCTCATCAATTGTGTTCCGGTCACGTGCTAGCGTTGTTTTTCTCTGTTTCCTGTTGGATGATGAATGAATGACCGTCATTCATGCGGTGCTTCGTTCCGCGTGGAGAGCTGTGTGCGGGGCTCTGTGTGGGGAGGGAGGGGCCTTGTGCCTTGTTAAGGAACGACGTCTTTCTCAGATGATCTCTTCGATGGACTGTGCAGAATTTGATGTGAATCTTTAGAAGTGTGCGAGTGGGCGTCGATGGGCACCAGAGGGCACCAGAGTGAAGGTGTGCTGCTCACAGCGGAGGTAGAATATGACAGAATGATGACGGTCGGATTGCCGGTGGGGGAGTAGATTGGCTAAGTATTTCGATGTCTTGAGAGAGCCGATGGTCAGTGGTGTGGATAGGAAGGTGGAGGTGTGGGGGTGGTGATAGCGAGTGTGTGTTTTTTGGTAATTTTAGATTTCTCCATACATCATTTTTGATGTTATCTGGAATTATAATTCGATATTGACATTGAGTTCGGCTCTCGCATTGTAGGATAGTCTCTCTTCTGAAGCTTGCCCAGTCCTTTGCCCTACGTCTCTCTCCCCTACTTTGCCTCTCCGATTTGCCTCAGGTGTTCCTCCGTCGTCTACATTGTTGTCCATGCGTCGAGATACAGTTCCTCCTTGCCCTGATTGCCCAGATATCATTTCCCCGTCCCTTCTTTGGCCGTGCTCGTCCGTGCGCTCTTTCCCCCACTCGTCGAACCTGCTCTCCTCGCTCCCGCTCGTCTAGCCTCCTCTCCTCGCTCCTCTTTTTCCCTTGCCTACCTCCACTTGCCCGCTCTCTTCTCCCTGCGCCCTGTTCTCCCTTCTCCATCCTATCCAATCTGTTGTTTCGCCGACCGTTCCCTCGTCTCCTGTTCGTCCGTCCTCTTCCGCTCCTCCCCGGCCCGCCCTCGCCCTTCCCACTTCCCCTTACTCTTCTGCCTGCTCGACTTCTTCACGTAGCTATCCCTTCGCTTTCCGCCTTCTCTCATCCCGACCCCGTCCTCCCTCCTCCCTCCTGCCCTTCTCCCCCTCTCCCCTCCCTCCTCCCTTCTCTCCTCCCTCCTCTCCTCCCTCTCTCCTTCCGACGTCGATCTCCCTGCCCGTCCTCCCCGCCCGCCCTTCTCACCTAGCCGTCCCTCCTGCCCGTACCTCCCTCCTCTGCTCGTTACTCCCTCGACCGCCGCCCCCTGCTCCCTCGTTTCCTAGCTTCCCCATCCCTCCGTTGTCCACCGTCCCTCCATTTTCAGCCCGGCCTCCTTTGTCCGCCCGTTCCACTCTCGTCGGCCAGTTTCCCTTGCCTGTGCCCATTCCGCTCCCATCCTTTTCGCCCGCGCCACTTCCGCCGATTCTTCCGATGCCTGCTCCTCCCGTGTGGTCAGCTGCGCCCGCTCTCTACTTCCCATCCCTTCCTTTCTTAATCCCCTCGTCCCTTCCTCTCAATCCCCTCGTCCCTTCCTCTCAAGCCCCTCGTTCCTCCCTCTGTTAATCCCCTCGTCGCCCGTTGCTTGCGTCGTACGTACGCGCTCCTGTTCTGTCTCCCGTACTCGCCTCGTTCGCTTTCCCTTCCGTTCTCATTCCCCTCGTGACATTTCTGCTCTCTTTTCTGCCTGGCCGTCGTCGTGTTTCCCTTACTATCTATACATTTCTGCCTGATGGGTCCACATCTCTATCGGTGATTTCAAATTCAGCGTCTTTAGGCGTTCCTGCTCCTTTATGCCACATCCATCCTTTTGTTTCTACCACTCTTTAACCACGTTTTCCCCTTCCTGGCGGTTCTCCCTCCCGCTTTCCATTCTCTCGCTCCTTCCTCCCTGCTTCGCGCTGCCCTTCCCTTTCTGGCGATCTTCTCTCCGATATCCTTCTCTTTCCATCCTATGTTCTGTTTGCCTTTTCTTCACCGTTGGACTCTGTGTCTTGACCGTTTGCTTTTTCGTCCTTCCTCACCGCCCTGCCCCCCCTCCCTCCGACCTTTCCCTCCTCTCTCTCTACGGTGCCTTCCGCTCTCTTCTGCAGTCCCTTCCTCCCCTCGCCCTACTCTTCCTCCCGGCTTCCCGTCGTTGTCCCTACCTCTGTCATTTTCTTCTTACGCCCCTTTGGCGCTTACCGGTCTGTCATTTCTGCCCTCGCACTGACCCCTCCCGGCTCCTGTGCTGGTTTCTCTTCGTTGTTTCTCTTTCCCTGCTGCTCTCCTCTTCCTACCCCCTCTCCACCCCGTCTCTCTTCCTTTCCCTTGCCGCCTTTCCCTTTCTGCTCCTCCCTACTCCCGTGTCGCCTTTGCAGGGTATTGTTTTGGCCTTCTTGTCGCGAGTCTCCTTCATCGAATGCTTTTCTCTCACGCGTCGTTGCTTGTTTGTGGTGCCTGGGCTCTCCTTTCCTCCCTCCCTTTTCTGTGTTGTTGTACCAGGTTGTCACATAGTCTGTCCTTCTCCTGTCCGTACTTGTCTGTACTTGTCCTTCTCTTGTCCGTACTTGTCCGTACTTGTCCGTACTTGTCCTTCTCTTGTCCGTACTTGTCTGTTGTCCTCTTCGCCTCAGATCAATTGCCAGCCTCTGAATCTCTTGCGCTGTCACAGGTGATGCCTTTGTTGTAGCGCTTTTTGCGCGCTTACTCCGTGCGTGAGTTCTGGTGCACCTTGCGCTCAATTGATGAAAAATTGTTTGTTCACCTTTGTTGTATTGCTTTCGACCTGATGTTTTGTGCTTATCCTTTTGCGCGCTTCTACTGCTTGTTGCTTGGCATACGTTATGAAAATTCTGTTTGTTCCGTTTGTTCTGTTTGTTGCCTGAGCTCTTTAAAGGTTTCGATGAGGGAAAAGAAAACGGAACAAGATCTTTCTAGGTTAACGGTGCAAAACTTCACTGCCATATCTGAAAGGACACTCGCGAAGCATTAGGAGGCGGTTGAATCGAGGCGGAGTATCTCGCGAATAACAAGACTAGATACACGTTGGAATGTCAGAAATTGTTTGTTCAAGATGATTTTCCATAAGATGGGTGCATGGATACAGGATAATACCGTTGGTAATGGTGTTCTCAGTTATAAGTTTGGGACTTAAAATGAAATTCGAGTTTCGTATCGTTAGCCTCGTAATGGAGTGTGACCTCCAAAGCGCAGTGAAGTGCGTTGTTGTTCTGTTACTGGACGTAGAGAAAAGAGGACGGCGACAAGCGCAGCATGCATCGTGCTAACAAACACTTAGGAGAAGTGCTAGATTTTTGGTTCTATTACCTGGCTGCGCTGCTTGTTTGTTATGACGATGCATGCTGCACTTGTCGCCGTCCTCTTTTCTCTCGTGTTCACTCGTCTTTTTTTTTTTTTTTTTTTTTTAGTATATATGTGTTCACTCATCTTAAGTATTTCGCGTTCTTGGTTTCCTTGTACTTCTCGCGGTTACGTTTCAGTTTTTCGGTTGTCGGATATGGGTACTCTTCCAATATTTGTCTTCACCGCGAATAGAATGCGCGGTCATTATAGCTGCTGCATCTGGACTGAAAGTTACGCCAAGTACCGCGTTAAATGACCGGGCGTTCTATTCGGGTGAAGAATGTAGTTTGAGCTCTAGTATCTACTCTACAGTGCTGTGGTCTCCCTTTGCCTCTGCGCCTCCCTCTCTCTTCTCTTACCTGCAGAATTTCCCTAACCTCCGATCACCTACCCACCCCCTCGTATTCTTCTTCGTTGTACCTCCCTCTCGCTATGGTACCTCGGTATTCTCTCCTTCATTTCTGTAGTTGCTTGAAGGACTCTGTTTCTGTTCATCTTCCCTCTACTTCCTGTTCTCTTATCGCACGTACCATTTCTGTTCTCGAATGCATGCATTCGTTCTCCTCGTTCTGGATCCGTGGACTTTGAATGGTGAGAGTACTCGTAGATCGTCTACGGGTAACGCCGGTAAAGATGACCAGATCCTCCCTTGTCTCCTCTATCCTGCCTGTCAAACTCCGCGCTGCTCTTTTTTTCTGCCACCGTCTTCGCCCGAATATAACGCCCGGTCATTGTCGCTGTATCTAGACCGAAAGTTGCACCAAATGCAGCATCAGCTATAATGACCATCTATTCAGATGAAGAAGGCAGTGCCTTGCTGTTCGTCCTGCAGTCCACTATGCATAAGGGGCCAGTAAGGTTGCACCAAATGCAGCTATAATGACCAATCTACTCTGGGTTGCTGTATGTAGACCGAAAGTTGCACCAAATGCAGCTATATGACATCTATTCTGGGTCGCTGTATCTAGACCGAAAGTTGCACCAAATGCGGCTATAATGACCATCTATTGTGGGTTGTGGTGATTTCTGTTTCCGTCTCTTTTTTTGGTTGTCAGTAAGGTCCGGTGTCGCCCCATGGTTGTGGTCAGTAAGGTAAGGTCCGTTTATTGATTCATTTATATCTATATTTCTGTATATTGATTCATTTATATTTATATTTATGTATATTGATTCATTTATATCTATATTTCTGTATACCTACATATCGTCAAACAGAACAGAGCTGCCCGGGTAAACCGTAGGTGGCAGAGAGGGAGGAAGAAGAGGACAACAAACGAGGAGGGGGCTGTGACAAACTGTTTCGTCGGAGTCGGAGTTTCACCGACTCGTCATCCATGTATCGTCATAGAGGACTGCCCAGCGAACCGTAGGCAGAGATCGAGATCGAGAAAGTCGTTTAAGTTAACGACAGGATATTCGATTTGTATCTGAGCGATCAGTTTGAAATTTGTCTTCTCCGATGGCATACGGGACGGGTGAAGTATGGCGCTCCTTCCTTTATAGGTTGGTTATGTCTCGAAGCCTCTCTGGTTCTCATCCATGTCCACGGAAGTACTTTGGTTTTTATTACCTGACCCGTCGGAAAGGGGATGATAAGTGATTGGCGTGACCGACAACCTCACGCTTTCTGCGCCTCTAGGCTCACTTTTTGACATTGACAGACGTGCTCATAGGGTATATATATCCCTCGCACTTCGGATTTCGCGACCGAATCTCTGGTGACAATCAGTCGATAGAACAGGAATTCAAATCCCGACCTTGAATTCATGTGATTGGCGCCATTACTCATAGGAAATGGCCGACCCTCTTGCCATTACGTGCTTTGTGTAGATCGATGTGAGCACGCTTTTGGACTCCATGGTGATTGCCTTGGCAGTCATATGTATACATTGTTTATATCGAGTATTTTGTTGCGATCTATCTATCTATCTATCTATCTATCTATAGATATATCAATGACTTGTTTTTTCGAGTATTTTGTTGCTATCTATCTATCTATCTATCCTATCTATCTATCTATCTATCTGTCTATCTATAGATATATCTATCTATCTGTCTATCTATAGATATATCTATCTGTCTATCTATAGATATATCTATCTATCTATCTATCTATAGATATATCAATGACTATTGTTTTTTCGAGTCTTTTGTTGCGATCTATCTATCTATCTATCTATCTATAGATATATCAATGACTATTGTCTTTTTTGGCCTTTGCGTTTTGATACACGGTGTGACGATATATCAATGACTATATGGATATATTTGTGGACTGTGGGTTTGTTTGTGTCGAACTAGTCTAGTCTCGGTTAGTCCTCTTGCGCGTTTGAGGAATACCTGTAGGAAGAAAAGCTGAAGAGTTACAACGTGGGCACCCTCCCCTTCCTTCCCCTCCCCTCCCCCTCCCCTCCTCCTCTCCCGCTTTTTCCGAACCTTGGAGTGAACGATGTCTTGTATCAATTGAGGGCTAAGGACGTACGTTAGCAAGGTCAGAAGAAAGCACTTGGGACTCTGTACACACATCCAGGTGCCGATTATGAATACGTGGACTCTCAAGTGCTTTCCTTTTTTCCCCCTCGAAATTCAAAATTCATTACCCTTCTTAACTTAGAGGCCGATTATCGATTTAAAAGAAAACAAAATGACGATGGCCTTGAGATGTGAGTGTCCGCAAGGTAATTCAGAAGTATCCTGTTCGTCAGATAGCATCTGGGTCCGGACCATCCTGTTCGTCAGATTGCACCTTGTGGTCTGTATTTCTCCGATCGGGTCACTGTCGTCACTAATAGCTTGTGTGCATTCATAATCACGGTGCGTTGTGATTGGGGGAAGACACTGGCCCCCTCGGAATACACGTGGAAATATAAAACCAAGACAGGCCTATCTCAGTTGACACACCAATGACTGAGCTAGGCCTGTCTTGGTTTTGTATTGCCAGGTGTATTCCTCCAAACCCGTGTGTGTTCACACACACACACACACACACACACACACACACAATCCTCCAGTCACACACACACACACACACACACACACACACACAATCCTCCAATCCCGTGTGTTCTGCTTCTGCTTCATAGACCAAGGATGGTCCATGGTAGCAGCAGCATATATGTATCATCAGCGGTGGTCAGCCAAGCTCCTGTGCAAGAGGGGAGGTAAGCTCCTGTGTGTTGGATCATCGAGGCCGAGGCCGAGGCCGTGTCCTGTGTGTCCTGGTAGTTTCTTTGAGAGTCGGTTTCGTTGAAGAAGTTGGGCAATGGGGAACTCCGAGGTGAAAGGAGAAACATAGGGGAGGAAGTAGGGGGCCGGGGGGGGAAAGGAAAGGGTACAAAAACTAAGAAATTGAAAAACAACATAAAAGGTGGTTTTTTTGTGAAATGTTGTTTTGTTCGAATGATGTATTTTTCAGAATTTAGGCGGATGAGCTAGGGAGTGGTGGTTGTCTTGGTTGTCCCAGATGATTCACCTGGTCACTTTTATGCCCTGGTGCATCAGGGGTCTGGTCCCTCCTACTGCGTTTTGAGTTTAGGAAACTCAATGGTGTGACGCCATTTCGATATTAATAAAAATTGGAAACAAGAAAGTAAAAATCTGAATTAACGTAACTCGGAGAAATGAAACGTGTCTGGAACAGTCGGGAGTGAATGTCTCTGTGGAAAAGGGATACTCCCCGTGGTGAGGGGACAGGAGGTCACCATTTGTAAAATGGACATGGAACACGTGGATGGCCAAATGCATTCATTTGCCCTACGAAGGAAACGAGTTTGATGCCAGAGAGCCAACAAACACAGCTGTCAGAGTTTCTACGTTTCAGGGTGTAATGACGTCTAGAAACCCCCCAAAAAAAGGCACTGCAGTTGGGTAGTTTCTCAACTTGAAATGGTTTCCTGCCCAATCTAAAAGGGCCAAAGCATACGACAAAACGGATTTCACGTCAAATTAAAAAAATGTGCAGAACGACGAAGTCTAATTATAAGTTATTCTCCTGTATTTCGGTACCATTAGATTCGCTATGCATCATCAACGGCAGCAGAGCTCCGTCCACACGTGATAGACGGCTCAGCGCTGATAAAACCCAACGCTGTCTGTAGGTGGGACCAGAACCCTGGGGGACAGACTTGTCAGTGACCTTATACAAACTTGAAAATCACAAACTCACCCTAAAAAAAAAAAAAAAAAAAAAAAAAAAAAGCTTGTTTGCTGCTGTTATATGGAAACATGTTTCCCTTGTTTTTTATTTTTAATTTTTTTTTAATTTTTCTTTTAGCCATTTTGAAAAGGGCGGCGGCCTGGATACATATCTCTGTCGTAGTGACCAGCCCCTTGTAATTCAGAAATATTGGAGCGCAGTCATCTAGTTCGTCTGGATTTGAACTCAGGTCTGTACGTCAATAGTCCATGGGTGTACAAGCTTGAGCAAGGCCTGCAGGCTGCAGGTTTCCTTGCGTGGTGGCGAAGAGAGAAAATGAAACAAAAATACTGATGCGTAAGGCTTGGATCCCACTCTAGTTAGTGAGCCCATTTTCAGACTTCAATTCGGATCCCACAAGCTAACGGGGCCTTCGGGACCCGAAAACAAATCGGCTGTTTCTACTCACTCTGTGTGTCGTGTCAATCAGGCCGCCACAGCCGCCGCGAAGGGACAACGGTTTTCCAAATAGCGGCCAACCCCTTCCCTGTTCCCTAAAAGCAGGCAGGCCGAATGGAGTTGTTCTATTTTTTTTTAT